AGAAAACTGATTTTGTTTTGAGGACAAATGGCCAAGGAAGGAGATATTATCTAAATGTCGCTCAGTATGAAACCAAAAATCACAGAGGAAGTGATGTTAATGACTATGATGCATCTTCAGCAAGAATATATGAAATACCAGGTAATAATACTTCTTGAAAAACAATTATGTAAGATAAAATTCATATAAACTTCAGTATTAACTAATTTTAGATCATAATTTTCATGAATTCAACTGATTTACAATTTTTTCATATATGTTCATGTAGGTGATGAGAAGTGCCCTGTGTCTAGCCTGGAGAAATACCTCGGAAAGCTGAATCCAAATTGTGAAAGTTTTTGGCAGAGATCGAAGCGCCATATCAAGGATTCGGATGCTGTTTGGTATGATAATTCTCCAGTAGGTCATAACACTGGGAAATTTTATGAAAACAATATCTATGAAAGCTGAACTCTCAACTCTGTATACAAACCACTGTATACGTGCCACTTGTATTACTAGTTTGGATCAGCGTGGGATAGAAGCTAGACATATCATGTCTGTAAGTGGACATAAGTCGGAAACTTCGATAAAAAGCTATTCAAGATGTGTGTTAGTGAATCCAAAAAGCAAGAAATGTTTGATGTTTTATCATCTGTGGTTTACCCATCAAAAAGCTAGGGCTAGAAAACCCAGTAGTTCCAACACATTCTAGTACCCATACTTCAGAAACTCAGCTCTTGGATTTAAATAACTGTGAATTTGAGACTGTCAGTACCGAAAAATTGCTTTCTGAAGTCCTGGTTGATGAAAATAGTTCAGATTTGTGTGTTCCAGAAGAAAAAGAGAATGTTAAAGTTAACAAAATGCCTCAAAACTCTTGTGGACCAGTATTTAGAAACGTCGAACAAGTGCATATTCACTATTATGTAGGAAAGGAACAACAAAAGTAAAGATAATGTAAAGTTCTTTATTGGACTTTTGTAAATCGTTAATGGTTGTAAGATGTGTTTTTCACTTTAGTTTTTGGAGCAAGTCCATTCCTAAGTAACTATAAGCCATACCCAGACCAAACTTGCATGGATGATGTATCTAGGGATGGACAATAGCAGACTTGCTTCGGATGCTGGATCTGACCTACATTTTCCAGATGAGTGACCAGGTTTAAGTTTTTGGAGAAGGTCCACTCCTAAGTAGCTATAAGCCATACCCAGACCAAACTTGCATGGATGATACATCTAGGGATGGACAATACCAGACTTTCTTCCGATGCAGGATCTGACCTACATTTTCCACATTAGTGACTAGGTTATTCATAAGTAATTATAAGCCCTACGTAGATCAAACTTGCATTGATGATGCATCTAAGGATGAATAATCGAAATTTGCTTCGGATGCTGGATCTGACCTACATTTTCCAAATGAGTGACCAGGTTTAAGTTTTTGGAACAGATCAATCCCAATGAAGTTTAGGACCTATTTAAACAGAACTTGCTTGAATATTGTTGTCAGAATAAATACTAACAGTTAAAAAAAATATGATATGAGATTTGCATTACTTAAACTGATAACATTTGTCAAGGTGAGCTTCGTAATCTTTTATTACCTATGTTTTTGATGAGGGGAACCATAAATTTGATATTTCACTCACAGCCATAGCCCATTCCATTACTGTTTGATTTACCGAAACAATCATAAGAGACTTAGACATTTTTGAAATAATATTTTAAAAAACTAAACTATTTAGAAGGCATTCTGTAGTGGAATTGAAGGTTTATAGAATTTTTTCTATATTTTCAGGGCACCCTTTACCATACAGCGATTATGTGAACTTCTGACAGATCCCAAGAAGCACTATAAACGCACAGATAAATTTCTTCGTGGTATTGAAAAGGTATTTAAAGCGTTTTTTTCATTTGTTTTTCTTATTTCTGAGTAACTATAAGCCCTATGTTGACCAAACTTACATGGGTGAAACATTTAAGAATGCACACTACCAGTACCAGACTTGCTTCAGATGCTGGATCTGACCTACATTTTCTGGGTGAGTGAACAGGTTAAAGTTTTTGTGCAGATCTTATTTCTAAGTAACTATAAAGCCTATATTGACCAAACTTGCATGATTGATACATCAAAGGATACACAATATCAGGCTTATGATTGATACATCAAAGGATACACACCATCAGGCTTATGATTGATACATTAAAGGATGCACACTATCAGGCTTGCATCTAGATTTTCCAGATGAGTGGTTTTGAGATGTACACTTTTAGATTATTAGTTTAATGTGGAACTTCGCCTTACTTAAAGAAAAACATTCTTTGAGGTGAGCTCTGTAATCTCTGATTACCTATATTTTATCCTTAAAAAAAAATTATAGATCAACTTACAATGTTTACATAATTTATAAATAAACTTACGATGTTTACATAATTTATGATGTTTACATAATTTATAAATAAACTTACGATGTTTACATAATTTATAAATAAACTTACAATGTTTAGATAATTTATTGATATATTTAAGATGTTTACATTACAGAATGTTTTAGTGATAAGTACAGTTGATCCATTTGGAAAGTAAGTACCTCACATTCTTAGTCATAATTCTGATCAAATGATCATTAACTGTGGGTCTATGAGAAAACCAGGCAGAATTGTAAAATATTTTTTAAGGTATTTGTAAATGACATTATTCCATTAAATATTGATAAGGTACACATCACTGATAAAAAATCATGAGGTGAGAAAATTGATAGCTTGTTCTATTTATAGTAACAGGGCCGTTATTAAAACCAGGAAAATAAAGCTTAAGAAAGGGCAAATAAAAGGGGAATTTCATTCAATTTCAATGCGGCATTGGGGCCAAAAGCAATCATTTACACATAAACTACTTATTTAATATAAAATTTCAAGATTATAAGTTATGAATGATAATAAAAGATTTGTTGTCAAACATGGAATGTTGCCAAAACAGCCCATCAAAAATGTCTCTTTTGAGAGAAATGTCGTTTTGGATGTAAAGGTACCATAAAAATATTCATATTAAACAGGGGTTGGACGCTTATTATTTTTAAATTCAAAATTAATTAAAAAGTTAAGTATGTTTGAATTCTCTATGCAACAGGAATTGTTTGGGTTTTGAGAAAATCTGTCGTTTTTTGAGTAGTTAATCAATGTTAAATTATCAGAGAAATTTGGGTAAAAATTAACATAAACATAATAAACAAAAGGCAACCGTTGCTTATTAACTGATTGTTATTTTGCATTAATGTTGATCTATAAATAAAAATAATTGTTAAAAAAAAAATCAAACAATTAACAGGTTTAATTAATTAAAAATGCCTTTCAAGAGACATAAACTTGAAGTTTCAGCATAGTTATCTCCCTTTACGGTACTCTCTAGGGAATGAGACACATAAGGTACATGCATGAATATGGCAGCTTCCAGGCATGGTGAAAGATTTGACTTTTCAAGGTCATGCACTTCTGTTGCATGTGGAGGACTTACAGAAAGTATATATTCATGTCGAAAAACAAATATTGTCACACTTGGTGCATTGTCAATTAAGCTGTCCCTAAACAACATCAAGTGACAATACCCGAGGGCGTTCTCTTGCTTTACCGAAGTTACAAAAGAGTATGTAAATTTCAAAATATGTCAAACGAGTCACAGAAATAGTCTTTGTACTCATTGGTACAAGACTCTAGGCGATGTTCACACCCGTTGCACCCACCAGACCAGAAGGAGAAACCAGACAGAGGAGTTAATTGCCCCGTTTCCAAAGACAGAAAGAGATATGGCTACAAGAGAGGATACTTGTACCTGTTGGTAAGTGATATATAATAAACACTACAATAACATTATCTTATACATGGATACAATTTTGATTGGTCCTCAGATGATTTTTAAGAATTTCTGGTGTAATATGAGAGAATATTGATTCGATGTATATTTACATATAATTTACATTCCATATATATAATCATTGATCAGTGCACTCAGGAGCAAACGTCAAAAATCTTTGGCTCAGAAAAACTTGATTTCTTCAAGAAAGTATACTCAGGAAAAAGAAGTCCTTATGTTGATTTACTAAAAAAAAGATCTGAGAGATCCTCTCTTAGTAGAATTAGACTAAGCGCACATAAACTTGCAATAGAAAGTGGTAGATATATTTCCACATCAAGAAATGAAAGATATTGTAATGTTTGTAATACTGGTGTGATTGAGGATGAAATACATTTTCTTTTTCAATGTAATTCTTTCTCTAAGCTAAGAAACACATTCTTTAGTAATATTTATAACATAACAAAGAAAAATAATAATCTTAGCATTATGAGAAATATATGTTACAATTATATGTAAACAGTAATATACAAAAAGTCTTGAAAGTTACTGTTAAATTTATCAGAGACTGTTTTGAACTTAGAAGTCAATTACTTGACAATTTTTGAAAAATATGTAAACATTTAATGATGTTCAGTGGGCCTTTGCCAATTATTGTAATTGTGTTTGTGCCAATAAAGTATTTGTATTTATATTTTACTAAATAAAGTGAAGAGCTATCACATTCAAATTGACAAAGCTGCATACAAATAAAATTGATAGGGGAGTCTAAAGGTTATCAATATGATTTTTATTATGAATCATATCACATATAGGTGTAGTACACCATCGAGTAAGTAATACTAGACTACATTAAAAAATAAATATAATTCATAAGTGTCTTCAAAGCTCATGTATACATATTGAATCTCAAAGAATCCTATCCACATGCACAATGATTTTCTTTTTAAGGTAGGGGTTATATTTTTTATTAAAAGAAATTAAATTGCAGGTTTATGAAGGAATCATTCTGAAAGGCACAGAAAAACTTACTCCACTAACGTGGACTTGACAGAGGATGATCATTGATGATAGGTTCTGACCGTTCAAGGTTGGTACATTGTATACATGTGATATTGCATAACCCACAAACAACACCTATTATATGAATGTCCAGGACACTAATAAAAACTCAAAGCCCCCCCCCCCCCATCCAATCTGAGGATTTTTTTTATTAATAAGGAAATGCAGGTTGTCTGCAATATTTAAAAAAAATAAGGCTTATCATTTCTACGAGATTAACATCTTTTAGTTTAAGATTGAAAATTTATAAAGCAATGAATTATTGAATAAATGATCTTTCTATATGTTTACTGCACAAGTACAATACAACAGAAAGCATTAATAAATTTTGAAGTTGGTCTTCAATGTGCTAAATTACACAACAACAAAACTACAGATGTACCTACCAAAAAAAAAATCAGAGTACATAAACATTTTTGTAAATGATTACTTCATTTATATCAAGGAATCTGTGGAAAGTTTTTAAAAGGGGCTTCATGTAATCATATAGGCAGTTAAATTACAACCCAATTAACACATCCGAATCCGATATACTCTCTTTGTCCAAAAACAAAAAAATGGAGAAATAAAACAGCCAATCACACTCTATTTTAAACTATACATATGAATTAGTTCCTCTTGTAAAAATGAGGGTGAAATCTTGTAGATTTTTATAAGTTGATCTGTATTTTATTGCTCTGAAGGCAGAATAGCGAGAATACTATTCCTAGTGATCGAATTATTTAGAAATAAAATCCCACTCGTGTATAAAAAGAGAAAATAAATTAAAATATAAATACAATATATAAAATGATAAATATTCATTAAAATATAAGAAGCTAGAGTAAGGGCTATAATTTTGAAAATAGATGACTTTTGTCTGCATTACTGACTATCACATTGTCGTGTAAATGATGTAAATCATATTTTTTGTTATTTCAGCTGAATTTTTTAAGCTTGGTACTGAGGATATTGAAGAGAAAATAGAATGTGACAATGAACAGTGTCCAGCTGTTTCTCAACACACCTCAGGGGTGGAAGGTACATATCTAGTTTATTTATTTTTACAAATTTGATTTACTATAAGGTAAACTGTTGCTATCCGTATTCATCCATTGCTCTGCACCATATGTTGGTCTTGTACTTTTGAATATTTTCAGCTTAATTTCTCTATGTAATGACTGAATTAAAATTCAAACTAATAAAATATCTGTTGGTAAATTAATTAGGATGGGAAAAGAAGTTAATGACAATTTGTCTTTTCATATCATGAGATATTTTCATCCTTTTGTAGAAGCACAAATTTTAGTAGGGATAAAATTTCATTGATTTGTCACCTAAAAAAAGTTTCCAGGCATTAAATTTTGTTGTTTCCAAAGTAAAACTCAGTAGTACTGGTACCTATAAAAATTTAATAGGGTACTTAGTTTTGTTAATTGTGAACAACAAAATAAATGAAAATGAATATCCAATGATTATTTCTGCATTTAAAGTTTATTGAAAATTCAAGACATTTTTGAAAATCCCTATGAAGTTCCAATTAAAAATAAAAACCTTTATTTCACCAAAACCCATAATGAGATCAAGAGCATATATTTTTATTAGAGTGGGGGTATTACTACTGAGCATTGACACACATTGGCAAAGAAAAAAATCTTAAATTTTAGTTTTAAATTTTGATCATTTTTGTATATCTTTATATGGAGCTCTTCTTTTAAAGGAGATCGAAATAGTCTGAAAATGGCTGCCACCCCCCAGCCTCGTTAAAGGAATAAGTCAATGAAATTTGACAGCTATAGCTAACCTGGCTTTTTTGAAAATCAAGGTTTAAGTAGTTTATTGAATAAAAATTTTCTCTTCCCGTAAACAACTAAAGGGGGGTAACTTTTGGAATTTCCTGTCCAAAAACTACTCTAACGATTTTGTCCAAAATGTGCATACACACAGTAGATATAGTCATGTACTAAATAATACAAAATAGCGAAAATTAAACGACAGGAATATTTTGGGGTAGGTGTGTTGTACATCCTTAAGAACCACAGTGTGTTAGGAAAGATGAAACTTATAGGGAAGCATCCTGGCCAGTGGGGTAGTGTAGATTCATATCTGTTCAAATCATGACCCCCAGGGCTGGGGCGGGGCCACGATCGATAATCAAAGATTATACTTGTATGGGAAAAAATTCTGAACTGATTTCTGCTTTTTTCCTAGCCACAGTGCCTAGGTGAACGATATGGCCCATGAGCCTCTTATGTTTAATGTTCCATGGAAGAAATGTCTTTGAAGTGTGATTATAGTCAGAATTATGTCGTGTTGTCTTCAACATTTACAATATCTCTTATCAAAACTTATCCTTTTCAGAGCAATCCAATCAGAATACAGAGTTTTTTCTGAGTCAGTCATCCTAAGGAACTGTATGTGACTACTGGAAACGACCCACATACTATCGAGAAAAGCTAAACAGGAGTATGAAACTGTCTGATGGTAAATTCACGCCCTTACGCTTCACCCTGAATACATCATTAGATGAGGTACAGCAGTCTACAAAAGACTATGTGACACAGAAAGCCAATGAAGTTATTCAGTGTGGCTTTGAATGCATTGCACCTTGCAAGAAAATGCTTTAATGCACTTGTTATATAAAAAATATTACATGCCGGAGGAAAAAAGATAGAAACTGATGCATTTACAGAAGCCTTAATAAAAGCATGCGATCAGGATCATCAGGCTGATGGGCATCAGAGTCAAGTACAGATACTATCATTTTTTGTGAACAACTTTTCAAAAACTGAACTTTGTAAAATGTCACATGGTTTAACAAAGTACAAAATAGATTGTGCAAGAAAATATGCATCAACTAATTGTCCTGGCAACTTTTTTCATCCTTTGTTAAAACAAAACAGTGGAGCTACAGTCTCCTCAGAGACTACTGGTCTGTCCACATGTACAGAAGTATTTTTACCAAAATGTTCAATCACTGTACAAAACATTTTTTTAGTGAAAATATTGATTTTTTCAGTAGTAGCCTAATATAATTTTTTGGAAAAATTCCTCAATTTCAAAATCGCACAGTGTCACCAATAATTAAAACCCGAATAATTGCCTGTAGGAAATGATTATTAAGTTCACAATCTTTATCGTAAAACAAAATAATTTAAAATCTAAGCGTCCAAACCCCGTTTTAAAACATGTCTAATATCGACCCTTTTCCCACATTTTCAGTCTCTTTTATATCAAGAGTTATTCCCCTTGTGTTTAAATATAGCATTGATTTTTAAGACAAAAAAAATTTGTGCAAAATGAAATAAATATTATATATTTTCTTTTGTTCTTACTTTTGATCACTTAATATTTTAATGAAAAGAAGAGAATGGTGAATGAAAATAGCAGTTTTTACAAAATTGTGAATACAAAATGATGATAAAGATGGTGCCTTATGGGGTACCCCCTTGGTGGGCCCCAATATTGAAAATTTTCAGAATTTTTTTTTCTTGTGATTATATGCTATATTGTTGGAGTCTTTTGGGAAAATTTCATTAATGTGAGTGACACTTCATGTATGGCCCCCTGCCTGGTTTTCTCATAGACCCACAGTTAAAGGTTTAAATTGTGAGTTGTAGTTTTGTAAATGTTTAATAAGAATGAAGAGGTAAAAACAAATGTAGTGGATGCATTCTCAAGACATATATTTCTTGAAATTCGGAAGATTTTTCTGCATGTAACATTTTGGCATTTTATGAAAGAATTTATAAAATTTCCATTGATTTGCAGTAAGATAGTGTGTGAGTCCCGAGCTAACCTCGTGAATGGACTAGAAGAGTCCCCTGTTAACGGGAACGAAGCTGACTCCCCCACAACCACCACCGACCTCACCCCCGTACAGTATTCCAGCTTCCCCTCCCAGCAACAGACAAACTGGACAACAGACAGCTGGGCGGGGGTGGGGCCCAGTCAGGGGGGACCCGATCAGACGACCTCCTCCTCTGACACTGGGCCCCTCTCTAGTACCCCTGATCAGACGGCGTCATCCTCTGACTCTGCACTCCTCTCTGGTACCCCGCATCTAACCTCAGACCAGACTGACAATCCGTCAGACGGCTCTGTCCCCGAGTCATGGTCAGGCCAGGCCATGTCTGACCGAGAGAAACCTGTGTGTGAGAGAGATGAAGTGTCATGTGAATCTGAAGATACCTCACCTGCCAAGAAGCCAAAAGTCTCAGGTAAATACAGCATAGGTTTATGTACTGGAAGTGTGGGTTAATTAAGCGAGACATTGTGTAATATATTATAAAACTGCAAAATAATCTTTTATACCGAAAATTATCTTTAAACAACATGTTAATCAATGTTGATTTACTTTAATTGCAACAAGTCTAATTTTCTCAGCAATTAAATCTGTGTTATTTTGAGAGCTCTGCCAATTTCATGTTGAGAATTATGAAGTGTTTTCATTGAAGGTGAGGACTCGTCAGTAGAACCATCAATATCGCAAGATACTAACAAACAAACAGACACCACACTTAATACAGACCAATCCAGAGAGCAGTCAGAGGTCCCGTCATCAGAGGTCGTGACCTCAGAAGAGTCAAAGGTCGCACAAAGGTCAGAGGTGAACAGTGAGGAAGAGACCTCTAAGAGTTTACCTGAGGAGAAACTGATTTCAGACCAGGAACAGGCAGATCTCGATAAAGGTTCACCTGAGTCATCTCAAGAGCAGAGAGATCTCGGTAAAAGTTCACTTGAGAGAGATGACAGTAAGGACTCGCCCGAGTCGTCTCAGCATGGTGAGTCCGTCAACAGTGATAATCAGTTACCTCAGACAGCCTCTACTTCTATAAAAGACACATCAGAAAATGGACAGGACCAAAGTCAATCTCCAGAAAAAAGCTCAGAGAGTACACAAAACAGTTCAGAGGACAGTGTGGAGCCTGAAAGTTCTGAGGAAACGTCTACGCAATCAAATGAGTTGCCCGCTGAGGAGAGTGTGTCTAGTTCCCAGGAAGAACGCATGAGCTGTGACAGTGAGACAGAAAATGTGGATACCACGACCCCCAGTGCTGATAATGACAACCCAGTCACCACCCCCACACAGGAGCAGACATCAACAGAAGGGGAAACCCCCATGGAAGAGGACTGAATGGTTGTAAATGGTTCATTATTACAGGATTTTGTCACCCCTCCACATGATTCACCGCTGACGTCAAACGAAGACAGTCCTCATCATCTGAAGCCATTTGTAAAATATGTGTTTACATCATCAGTGTTGCATAGTAGTATATTTTGCTTTGTTTGGAGAAAATTCATTCTAAAATTGACACAGATCCCATCGTCATTGTAGTAAAGGGTACAAGTATCTGTGATTTATGCACACTTAAAAGAGATTTTTTTTATCATTCAAATGAGAAATCAATGTTCCCACTTTTGAATTATTTCTATTTTCTAATTATAAACAGGATGATGCCATCATTATATAAGCCAGATTTAAGCGATTTTAAACATTTTTTTTTTAAATTTTTGATATATGTTGGTGCATTTGCTGTGAATACAGTTATAAGTGATCTCAAAATTCCAACTTAAAAGGAAATTATCGTTCATTAAACACTTTTCATTCACCCAATTCTAAGGTAGCTTTAGGTTACACCGAAATCACCTCTTTTATGATGTTGGTCATGGAGTAATCATGAAAATGGAAATTATATTTAACGACAAAATGTAGCAACTTGTGTCTATTTCCTTGCTCAGAACTCAAAAAACTGTACATCAATGTATTCGGGAGGCTCAACACCATTGGGAAATACTTTTTGGACGTGAAGAACATATTTTCATATGAAGGAGTAAATATCCTACCTGACATTACTTATTTTTCCTTAAAAAAAAGATATAACACCTACTTGAAAATGTGTATTAGCCTATTAGGTAGGGGTACGTATTTTTCATTAAAATAATTAATGTCAGGTGCACATGGGTTCATTTTCAAAGTAAGGTAAATGTACTTACCAGGCTTTTTTCCCAGTAAAATATTCAAATACAGATCACTCTTACTGCAATGAAATGTTGTGATTAAAAAAAGAAAAACCTAAATAAAAATTATCCTGCACACTCTTTTACATTAAGAATTTTCCTAAATTACCAGAAATGTCCTATAAAAAAGAATTCCAAACTTGAAATTGGAAAATAGCAAATAAATTTCTTAGAAGTAATCAAAATGGATATTTCATTTAATTTGTACGATGATGTACATTTGTAACTTATTTTCTTTAAACATGTACAAGTTGGGGATATAATTTCTGTCTTCATACCTCAACAGAGAGATCAGATTACAACTTACCCTAATTAATATCTGATGTGTGCTATTTTCATATGCCATTCATATTAGTGATATTATGCTTTTTGGTGATAATTTGCAATGAATTGTCAGTATGTTCTTGTTTGAAAAAGAATCCTTGCTATAAGATTCTAAGTGCTATAAAATTCAGGGTTTCTGTAAACATGCTAGTAGTACATATGTTCTGTACAAGTCTCTTATTGTGTACTATGATCAATAAGGAAGAGGTCCCTTCATATTTCAGTCTTTCACGATCAGAGTGGACTTTATTTAAAATGTTTACAGTGAGTGTTCATTCACACCATTAATTTTCCATTCGAGCAATTTAAAACATTGTTTTCGAACACTTATCAACTTCAAAATTAGACTCTATAACAAAGAAAAATATTTTTTATTCTGATTCTAGTTTTTAATACAAGTCAAAATTAATTTTTAGAAAAAATGTATAATTAAGTGCAGTAGTAGTTGTAACTTGTCAATATTGGCCTAATGGTTGTTTTCTGGAGTTAAAAAATTGGAATTCATTCATTGATGGCAAGAAAACCTAAATTCATTCATAAAATTGTCAATGCATAAAAAATTATCAAGTGACTCTGGAATCAGCATTGTTAAATGTTTAGTTATACATTAAAAACTGCTTATAGTGAGAACCTTGATTATGAAGTATAGGGAAGTGATTTTTATTCCCCAAGAATTTTAGATGTATTGTGAAACAAACAGATATAAAAATTACTTTACAAAGCAAAATCGTTTATCCCTGGCATGATTAATCATGTTTAACTGTTAGTAGTAATTTTTTGTAGATTCTGCAAGACTTGCATACGTTCATGGCTATCTGGCATTTTACTTTAGTTTGTCATTTCTCATCAACAAGTGTATTAATCAGCATTGCAAGCCTCATGTTACATCCAGTTCATTATACACATGTGAATCATCCAGTGTGGCCATCTTTGTCAGACATGATTGTATAGGAAAGCTTTATTGAGAGAGAAAGTGATGTGTGTGAAAGGGAAATATTTTATTATACATGACAGTAGTCAAAGAATAAATTGATGGAAAAAAAAACAAAAAAATTATTATTATTCTTAGGGAACATATTTAAGACATAAATTCCTTGTAATGGACACTTTAGAGAAGCACTGACTTTTACAGTTTTCAGATTACTTTGAAATCTGAACCTGTTTGGAGGTGCAGAATTGATAATAGATAGAAAAAAAGCTTTCTAGTGGCTAAGGACACTAACCTGTGAAAGTCGCGAGTTGAATAGGGTAGTTGTCGATTCTTATATTTGCTTTATATTAGCACGTTATTTTTATTTAATTAAATGTTGAGCTAAATATTTTTATTGAAAAAGAGCTTTAAAATTGGAAGTGTAAAAGTAAGCCATCCACTGTAAAAGTCAGCGCTGTGGTCGGGATTGTACAGCTTAATTTTATATGATATAATTTGAGTACCTTTCAACCTATAGACATAGTTACTACAGAGCTTGACATTGGTTGAAGGCTCCTGTACGTTTCTCGTAGGTTTCATGCTTAAAAGAAGTTTAAAAAGAATCTTAAAAGAAGTTACAGTTGTAGTTTACCATATAAATAAAATATTATCAATACATATGTGAGGGTTTTACAAGTATATCCGTTAGCTTTTAGACTGCATACCTATTAGAAAGTAAAGGAACGATTAGTGCAGAAGCAGATTGCATGCAGTCATTTGGCCATTTAAGGAATAACTGTCTAGTTAGTATTGTATGTCAGGGCATCAACGATATTCCCGTTTTGCACATATTTGAATTACAGGTAATTAAAAAATGTGTGAAAAACGGGAAATTGACCAGGTGAGATAATTACTAAATTGCTATAGTCTATACCATACTTAGTACTTAGTAAGTATGTTAGAAGTGAGCTTATAGCGAAAAAATAAAAGAATACAAAGTTAATGTATCTTCTTGGCTTAGGCATTTTTTTCACACTAATTTTTATTTTCTATTTTCTTCATTATTTGTTATATCTTTAATCCATGATAAAGCAAATAAACCTGTCCTCTATTTCAATATTTTATTCAATAAACTCAAATATTTTCCCGTAAATAAAAAATAAAATTGTATAAAACCTCTTAAGAATACATTAAGCTAAATCAGATATTCACAGGTAAATCCAGGTAAATCCAAACCAAAAATCAGACTATAATTGCTATCAAAACACACTTCACACCTATTGCTCTTACCTAATTATCAAATGTGTGCAAAACGGGAACACACCATATTGGGAAACATGGGATAACTTGATTTGCCCGATATGCATAAATTATCCCATGTTTACCACTTTCGTTGTTCTCCCTGGCATACTATACCAACTAGACAGTGATTCCTTATATTTCCATTTCATTGTGAAATAAAATTGTAGATTTAGACTTAAAAATGTAGATATAGATTTAAATTACACGAGGACTCCCATGCCAATTTCAAAAGCTCTCGCCCACTGACGTCAATCGATTTACATGCATATTTGGTCTCCTTAGCGTCAGACAGAGAGACAGATGCGCACAAGATTCGCATGCATGCTAGGCCTCATTAGCTCCTGACCTATCGACCTGCCTAATTTACATTCCAGCAGAATTATCAAGAAATCAACCCCGCTTACTTTCAAAGAGTTATCACAGAGAAAAATATTTGAAATGGAAATATTACGGTATAAGTGGAAGTAGTAATTTTAGTATAAGTCAAATGTAGAATCCCCAAACATGCAGGAAACTTTCAAAAGCAATAGCATCAAAACGTAGGACTTTTCTAAACATTATACAACCTTATAAAGGAGGACAGGTTTAAACTTCTTAATTAACCAACTGCTCCTTAAATAGAAATAGACCAAAGACAATTCATCTTTAGTCAGAACTGCAAATCAATACACTTTTTAAAATGGGTTTGATAACGAAGATGTAATTTTGAAGATGTAATCACATGAAGATGCTCGACCAAAGGAATTTACAAAAGAAATACGCACGCTAACTCTCGATTCCAGCCTACATTTTGCAACCTTTTAATTCAATAAAAATTGCAATTTGGCCATAAAATCTGTGGTTAATACAAGGGCAGTTTAATGGAAATTGATGGGTTGTCTTAGTACCAGTGCTAAATAGTAAATTATCAATAACTCCAGCGTTTGAAAAAAGGGGGTAGACGAATACTTTCCATTGACACCCCTACTAATGTGTTCGGATGATATTCTTTATCGCTGTTAAGTGTAGCGTAACATCCGAGTGGTCGATTTGACCTTTAACGAGACCAGCCTCGAGACCGTGCGAGATCTGCACCAGTTCCTGTAAGATTTAGACAGGAAGTAGATGTGTGTTTTGGGATTTATGCATTTAATGTAAGTAAAGTTCGTTTTATTTGCCTTCATTCACTGGAACATTTTTTGCACATAAAATTTGATTCAATTTAGTCTTTATTTCTCGAATTCTATCACCTCAAACATATGAAACGAGAAACATTAAATCATGTACATTTAGAGTTATCGTCCTTTGTTTACATGCCTCCACGTGGTTGGAAAAATAAAAATCTTTTGGTGCTAAAAAAATATAACGGACTTGTCAGTGTTTTTTAAATTATTATACTAATTAATTTATGTTTTTCTTGGTGTTTTGAAATATTTTACCCCAGTATTTAAAGAGGTGAAAATGGTTCAATGTGCAGAAAATGTTATAGTCTGTTTTACTTCTTACAATAACAGATACACAATTTCTTATATATAGTAACTTACATGCAATATACATGTTATAAACGTGGAAGTGCTTAAATAAATGAATATAGAATGAATGTGTCATTCAAAAGATTAGAAATTGTAAATGACAATGAAAACAACCCACAAGTGATCAGCTGGTGATAATTATTCAGGCGCGGATCTAGAAATTTTTCAAAGGGGGGGGGGGTAAAGAGGAAAAGAGTTTATAATTAACTTATATTTTACATAAACATGTACATGTAGCTAAATAACTCAGTAGGATACAGGGTGGAGTATATTTTTTAAAAATTGTAGGTGGATCAACCTGTGAAAAAAATACTTGTACAGAGGATGACAAATCCCATTGCCTGACGCCCGGGGCTAGTGAATTTTATGGGTGGGCAAGTAAAATTTTATCAACCACTTGCTCGTGGGTAAGTGACTTATCAAAAATAGAATTTATTTGAAGGCCAAAAATTTAAAACTGCCATAGGGGCTTGCATGATTTACTCAGCGTTTGTCTACCTCTTTTTTTTAAAGATCTAAAAATACAGAATTGGTTAATTGTAGGGCAAGCAAAAATTCAGGTAGGGCAAGTCAATTTTGACCATTTACTTGCCCTTGGACAAGTGCCATAAAAATCTATTTGTCAGCCCCTGCTTGCACCTATAGATTACCTGAAATGTTTTGAAAAAGTGAAAAATAAATCTCTGAACATGTAAATCCTATTATGTGAAGAAGTAGGGTTTCATTTTGTTATCACAACCAAATTTCTTTATATATTACAAATTTACAAAATTAGCCTTTCAACATGTTCAATGACATTTTTCTATAATAAGAACACAATTAATACACTGTAGAAATTTGGGTCTTTCTCTTGAGCTCTCTTCATGCTCTTATTTTGCAAATCAAAAGGGGGGAGGGAGTGCAGCGGGAGCCAGTCAAAGCGCCCCCTAATAAAAATGTCCCAGTCAAAGTGTCAACTAATTTTAGTCAAAGCTTTCCTTATTTTAGTCAAAGGGCCCCCTGATATTGGTCAAAGTATGACCTGATTTTAGTCAGAGCAACCCCCTCTCCCTTACATATTTTTTCAGAAAAAAATATATTTATATCTTATTATAAATAATCTTTACTGTCCCCAAGAAATGGTCAAAGCATCCCTTGGTTTTGGTCAAAGCTCCCAAAATCAGCGGATGCTTTGACGGGGACGGTTTAATTAGGGGATACTTTGACTGGATTTCAGTGCAGCCCCTGTAAACCCTCCCCCCTCTAGATCTGCCACTGTTATAAACAACTACTTAAGTGCATGACTTAATTAAGCTTATTCCAGACTATGCCCATGTTTCTACATGATGTTGACTGTATGAATTTTTAAGACTGATTCAGTGTGATAATTATTATTTGATATACCTGGTTAATTTGATTGTACAAATAGAAATTGTTTGTTATCGACCCTTAAGGTTATTTAAATTTCCTTGATCACAGTCTTTAAGATGACATACAGTACTAAGTACTGAGCACATGAATGGTACTAGTAAGTAATTTGATTGATTCATTATCATGCCTGGAGTGATAAAAGTATTTCAAAAAGTCTGTCAAATTCTTGTAAACATAATTATTTCACTCTCATGATGGTGTGTGTCAGTGTCCATTATGCAAAGAAATATAATTGCTTTAATAAATTCTCATATATTTTTATAATATTTTTAGATGTTAATGACCAAAATGATTGATCATTATCAAAATAAAATATCTCTTACAGTCGCAATACAAAAGACTAATTTACCTTATCTTAAAAAAATAGAATATGGAGATAATGAGCACAGTATTCAATATCAAAGTCCATAAAACAATACAAAATAGGAGCAGAACAAACATGGACCTCCAAAATATCAGAGGTGGGATCAGGTGCCATGGAGGAGTGTACATCCCCTGTCGACTGGTCACACCCGCTATGTGCTCCTTAGTTGTCATAATCATGAAATAACGGAAAAATCTGTCATCAATTCAGTGTATAAATAATGGACTAACAATTCGTATGAAAATTAAATTAAACGTCAGTCAGCATAACACCTAATGTAAATTAATATGTCAGATTTACAATATGTAAGTCAACTGTAAATTGTTTTTCTTGGCTGTACAGCATTTTAAGTCACATAGTATTATAATATGATAATACGGACTTTCAAGTGGGCATAATTCTCTTTCAGGCATAATTTTGGTTTCTAGCTTTATTTTTCCAGGGGAATTCAGCTTCATTGCATTTTTTCGCCCCAAATCCCTGCTTTATGCAGTAGTTAGAGTGTCTGCTCTAAAGTCGTGAGGCAAGGAGTCAATCCTTATCTCACAAGTTCGAATCCCACTGTGGGACTTGGAGACCGGTTCTTCGGATGAGACTGTATAAACTGAGGTCCTTTATCACAGTAGATGCTGTAAAAAAAAGATCCCTCAACAATTAGATAACCCTATTTTGACACAGAATTGACTCTGATTTTACTTTGTCTGTTTGTCAGTGTACAACAATGAAAATATATGCATCATATCTAAAACTTTTCTTGTGCGTGTGTTTTAGAGGGAGCTATAGTGTCAAAACCCCCACCTCCCCATCTGAATCTGTGTACCTGTATTATAATTTTTGTGATAAATAAATGTATGTGCTTGTAGTTATCATCATGAACATTTAATAAATAAGAGGAAAAATAATCTTTTGCAAAGCACTGAATAGCAGTCAATATTATGGCCAACTGATTACTAATTTAACATGTTCAAATCCTGTTCGAATACACATACAATTTAATTTTGCAAATTTGTTTTGTAAACTTTGCTTAAATTGGGTATTAAAAGTTATTATATAGCAATATACTGGAGGGACAAGTTCGCTTAAAGACAAATTTTAAAGATTTAATCTTTAATAATGATGAATAACATGTACACCAAATGAACATTGATGAATTTACTTTTGGCATCTTACATGTGACTTTTCTTATGCAATATTATATATGCAAGAAAGCTACAGAATTCTAAAATTTGAGGTATAAATTTAATCTGTTAATGATTCTTTACAACGATAGTGTAGCTTGGTAATTACGTAAAGGAATATTGGGACATACTTTTTAGTTAAACTCAGTAATATATAATTATATATTAAACTGCATTCAGTTCAATGAAAAATGAAGAAGATCATGCAGATGTTTGACTGTAAGTGTTGGAGCTCAGACCAAGAAATAAATAGATATTGCCATTGAACCATCTCGCAGAAAACTTTATTTTTCATCATCTTCTTCACTCTGCTTTAAAATGATATTAAACTGAATAAAGGTATCATCATGATCATAGTTACTTTTGACATGATTGATTTCAAATTTTTCCATGAAAATTCTTCATTTTCTACATAAAGAAGAGGGAAAAGGAAGTTTATATTAAAGAGGATTCAGAATCATATTGATTTGATCATGATAGATTTAGTAGCAACAAAAGGACAGTAATTACTATTAATTAAATGGTTTTATCATTTATGAAATGTTGTACAACTTTTGCCTTCTTGTTGATTAACTTTTAACACTGAGCCTAAACTTTCAGGTCTCTACAGGAATGCTATTTCACATCAGTATTCTGATGCTGTATGCCAGTCGCCCATCATCATGATCATACCCCTAATATATTGAAAGATAGTAGTGGTACAGAGATTTGGAAAATTTATAATCTACAGGATGATGTCAGGATCACAAACAAGTAAGAAAATTTGTTCAAGAACTTCAAGAAACTGTCCACTGAGACATAAAAACATGTACAGAGGCTATTTCAAAATACACACAAAGCAGGATTTGTCAAAGTGTAAGTCCCTAGGGCCAGAGTCTCAAGGGAGTTTCTGATTAAAATTTGTCTGTTGTATATTGGTGTACTTATTGTGAGTATTGTTGCCCTTGTTGTCATCTTTGTATATAAACTTTCACATTCTCCATTGGGCCACTTTCAACCAACTTGACACAATTGAGTATCCTTGAACAAGGGAATAAAGGTTATAAGAAAAAAAAGTTTAAAGAAAATGCAATGCCTTCGGCTTCTTCCTAAGGACAGTCCAGACATAAATGCTGTCTTGACATGTAAACATGTAATATATATTATAGATTTGTTATCATTGCCCTAGAGGATAGGGTACAAAGCCCCGAAAGGTAGGGCGACAGAAGAGATAAAGATTTTAGCTCATCTGAGCAAAAAAACTGACAGTTGAGTTTCTGTTATCACCAATTGTCTGGCCTAGAAAAACTGAAATTTATGTGGAAGCATCCTAAGGTAGTGTATGTAAATTGTTCAAATCATGACCCCCGGGGGTAGGGCGAGGCCACAAATTTTAAATTGAAAGATATAGGAAAACTTACTTTAACAAGATGTGTTTGTAAAACACTGATGCCCCGTATGACAACATAGCAAAGATTAGGCATTTCTTAAATTCTAATTTAATTAATTGGTACCATTTACTTAGGGTATTCGCACTAGAAAACAATTGTGAAATTTGAAAGTAAGCTAATGTTAAAAATACTTATGTAGAGCATGAAAGCCCTATCCCTAACCGTTCAGAAGTTATGGTCAGTGTTCAATTTTTTTAAAAAGTAGTTCACACTCCAAGGTCAAGGTAAGAGGGTCAAAGTTATTGTTATCAAATGAAAGATCTTTTCATAGGGATCAAATATGTAAAGTATGAAAGCACTAGCCCTAACTCTTTAAAATTTATGGTCAAGGTTTGCTTCTTTAAAGTAGGTCAATCTCAAAGGTCAAGGTCAAAGGGTCAAAGTTCTTAGTATCCAATGAAGGATCTTTTCACAAGGAATACATATATGAAGTATGAAAGCCAAATCCCTTAATTACCTTTCAAAAGTTATGGCCAAGGTTAAAGTTTTTTCACAAGTACGGAAATCTACAAGGTCAAGGTCAAAGGGTCAAGGTTGTTGGTGTCCAGTGAAGATCTTTTAACAAACATTACAAATGTGAAGTATAATTGTATCTACTGTTCAAAAGATATGGCCAAAGTAAAATTTTAAAATTTTCATGTAAAAGTGGGTCAAACTCCAAGGTCAAGGTCAAAGGATCAAAGTTATTGTTATCAAATAAAAGATCTTGTCATAGGGATCAAATATGTAAAGTATGAAAACACTAGCCCTAAATCTTTAAAATTTTAGGTCAAGGATTACTTTATTTGAGTAGGTCAATCTCAAAGGTCAAAGGGTCAAAGTTCTTGGTATCCAATGAAGGGTCTTCTCACAAGGATTACATATATGAAGTATGAAAGCCCTATGCCTTACCGTTCAAAAATTATGGCCAAGGTTAAAGTTATTTCTCAAGTACGGAAATCTACAAGGTCAAGGTCAAAGGGTCAAGGTTGTTGGTATTCAGTGAAAGGTCTTTTAACAAACATTACATATGTGAAGTATAATTGTCCTGGTGTCTACTGTTCAAAAGATATGGTTAAAGTAATATTTAAAAAAATTTCAAGTAAAAGTGGGTCAAACTCCAAGGTCAAGGTCAAAAGGTCAAATTTTGTGGTACCCAAAGAAAGGTCTTGTCACAAGGAATACACATATGAAATATGAAAGTCAAAGCTCTACTAAATCAAAAGTTATGGACAAGGTTAAAGTTTTTGCGGACAAACAGACAAACAGAGAGACAGACAGACAGACACGACAAAAACTATATACCCCCGAAACTTCGTTTACGGGGGCATAAAAATCTTCTTTACAAGAACTACTGGGACAGAAAAGCTGAAACTAGTATGGAAGCATGTGTAGTATAGATTTAAATTGTCCAAATTATGACCAATGTGGGAGGGTTGGGTCACAATATGTATTGCAGTGGAGGAATTTGGTAAAGAACAGCATGGTCAAAGCTACAGGTGAGCAATGTGGCCCATGGGCCTCTTGTTTAGAACAGTTAAGTATTCACATATATATTGAGGATATTCAATGTTTTGTAGTTGAATACTGAAAATTTATTTCATGAGTGAGACAGTATATAAATATTGCATGTAGTTGAGTGTAACATTGAAAATTGTCACCCCAAGAAAACCATTGTCAATCGAGGTGCAGCGGAGGTTGACAATGGTTTTCGATGGGTGAAAATTTTCAATGGTACACTCAACTACATGCTGTATTTATTATATTATACTGAATATTTTATACAAATACATATAACCGTGAACCATGCGCTCATAAATTTTGTAGACAATATTCCTGAAGACATTATTCATTGATATTTCTTACACATGACCATTTTAACTTCCTTGACATCAAAGAAGAAATTTACATTATAATACACACTATTTCAAATGCATTAATATTTCATTCTATTTATAGGTGATTTTGACAAAGAAGGTGTAAAACCGTTGTGGATGTGGATATTGAAACTCCTTAAAACTCTTGAAGGATGAGGAAAAGGAACCATTGAAATGGAACATGTTGGACTCAAGGTTATCACGGTAATATTGTTGATTTTGAACATGCATGCAAAAATTTAGTATAATATTGCATATTATATTAAGAAAAGTTCAACACATTGCTTTCTTTAAATGATATGTATTTAAAGTATGCCATTTGTCCACAAATAAATTTTAAAATCTTTTTGAGAGGCTGATTGTATGAAATGATAGATAAATTGGCAGAATGCTTCACTTTTTCTTATTTATTTAATTCGAAAATGAACACATGAACATGATGAAAATGTACATTTCACATTGGGGAGGATTTTCAGTATTTTTAAATTTGATGTTGGAATTTGTATCTCAAATGGGAGGATGGCTAATTTCAAAGAAGATTTAGGTTTTGATTGGGATCAGCAATTTTCTTCAAGAATGATGCATTTGATATTACTTTTAACAAATTTGAACTATACATGTACATTGTACACATGTACTTTTGAAAACTAATTCTTGTTAGGTACATTCATGTTTGTCCCAAACCAATTGAAAGCAGGAGGATGGTTAGACTAAATGACACAATGACAATCTCATATTCATGCAAAATTTAATAAGCAGTCTTTTTGCAGATTCAGATCTGCACATTTAGAGGAGTGGATACATGAATGCTTCTGAATTAAAATCTGGAATTCCTGACAAGAAATGGCACAAATTAATTCACAAGATATTAATGTATCCACCCTTATATTCTGATTTGAAACTGTCTGGATATTTCTTTTTTACACAGAAATATAATCTGACTTAATATTGTGACTTCTTTGTGAATGACCCTCACCTAGGGATTAGTCACACTTTTCATGTATAGAATGTCATTTTTAACATGTTTAAGGAAAATATGGTTGGATTTTTCTTTCAATTGACATGTCTCAGAGGAGCATCATGGTCCATATAGGCTTATAGTCAATTATAAATCTGAGTACATTTTACACAATTTATTGTGCAATTATATTAAAAGTTACTCAATTTTATGTATACAACAACAGACTGATGTGATATGCTGTAAATTCCTTATTAAACACAAGGAATTCATTATTGCAATTTTTCATGTAGCATATTCACTTGCAAAATAAAATGTTTCACTTTTATTTTTTTTGGTGCTGAAACCCATGCACATTCTCCTTATTAATCGCCCATTCACAAATAGGTCTTGAGATTTGCTGTTTTTAAGAGCTAATTTGCAATAATAAGAACTCACAAAAAATAAGGAATCTGCAGTATGTACATGTATAATCTCTGAATTGATGTTTGATTTTTTTTTTCAACTCCAGATCATGCATTTATAAAAGATGACAGCATATCAGCACTGCCTTAAGATTGGAGTTGAGACCTTGTATTTTTTACATGGAAAATAAAGAACAGTTGCCGAATGAAACAGATGCTCGCAGAAGCAAATGTAATGAGGCCAGAATGATGGTGATCATTTTTGAATTATTTCATTCTCTGGTTGAAATGATACTGATCCAATTTGGTTGACAATGAATACTAAGTATTTTGTTGTATATAAGTATAATGGCTTATTTCAAAACTGTATAAAGCTTGATATATCATGTAACGATATTATGTAGGAATCAATATTTTTTGAAGGATTAATAGAATCATTCATTACTACGAGTGTGGGATAGTGAAATTCCACCGAGGGGACAAGATTCACAGTCTAGGACGAGGCTTTGCCGAGTCCTAGACCGTGGATCTTGGCCCCGAGGTGGAATTTCACTATTCCCACATGAGTATGTAATGAATGATTATTTTTCTCGCATTATTTTATCCAAAATAACGTCCTGTCAATGACGTCGCCATGATGGGGCTAAAAAAAATATTTTTAATTTTCCATCTAATTAAAAATCTGAATACACCATCGGAGAGAACGTACCTGAAAATGGTTTACACGTAGTGTAAACTGACAAAATAATTTTCAGTCCGTGTAAATTAATCAGAAAGATAAAAACTGGGAATAAAAACTTATCTATCCGACAGCGTAAAAGAAGAATCATTCCGCGATCTAAAAATAGTGCCATTAAAAAAGTGAAAATACGACAATATTTTGAATGAAAAAAAGTTTATATTAATAAGTTAAATGACAACAGTTTAATTATGTGTTATATTTTCTTTTACATTGTTACAGTTTCTTTATATAATGACGGAATGTTTACGTTCTCGTTCGTGGCGTAGTAGTACACAGTGTAAGACAGAAAAATCTCACACTGCTGTCTCACACCGGACAAGTCAATCTTACACTGGTAATTATGCGAGAAAAAGAATGTAATTTTTTTTTCAATCAGAATTTCCTAAAAAGACTTTCTAATATAAGTACATGTATGAATAAAAGAAGTTTGTAATCCTTTCTTTTAGTTTCATTGAAATACTTAAGTAATGAACCACAATTTTACACCAAAAATGTTTTAATTTAACATGAACATTTCAATTTTTTACGAAGTTTGAATTGCGCCGGCTCATATTGCTTTTTATTGATCTGTCTCCCTTAACCTTAGATTTGAAGTGCATTCTATGTACAATTACAAATGTAATAAATTTAATTTTAGACCATTGGAAAGGTCTTCTTTTAATCTCTGCTGATTTTAACTCAAGCAGTGTAAATGTCTTTAGTACATGTACATCTTTATATAACAAATGAAATGGCTATTTTAAAAAATATGTACATGTACATGTATATCTGTACACATAATTGATCTTGCCAAAGAGTTATTTCCCTTGTTCACAATGTAAAAAAAAATCTGAATGATATATGCATGACTGTTTTACAAAAAGCAAAAAGATAATTTATTTTATATGTTTTAGAAATGTCCTCATTGTGTTCAGTATCTGCTTTTCTTTATTAATGATGTTGAAATAAACTGTGCTAATGTTAAAAAGTATTTTTGTATCATGACATGATTATATATTGAACCTTGTTCATTGGAGCTGTGGCGAGAAGTGTTTGGCTAATACAGCTAGGGGTTCAAAATATTTCACAGAGTGAGATTAAAACACAGAAATAAATTTTATATGGTAAAACATATATTTAGAAAACATCTTGTTGGATCTTTTCTCAAGTTTGATCTCAGTTAAAAGGAACTGGGTGTAGAAAGAGCTTACATGTACATGTATATATTCTAGATATTTATTTAAATGCTTTTGGGTCTATGGAAAAGGCACAGTGTAAAGAAATGTGAACATTAGGGACAGGGATATACTAAGTATGTGTAAGATCATGATCATGTGACACCTACATGTAACAGTCAGCTAGATTTGAAAGGGTAATAGGGCTTTGAAGTTTGCCAAATCATTCTAGGTATGACTAGGAAATTAGATTTGTGTGTGTACATTTTTTTTACACCCCCCCCCCATTTTTATGGTTTAATGATTCTGTTTAAGGGTGTTGGTATGTAACAACCCACCCCCACCACTCATGTGGACAAAGAATTCCTGGAACCATCCATGCCTTCAATAAATATATCCAAGTGCTCTGGAAAATTTAATAAACCCTAGAGATGGGTTGAAAATAAAGAAATATGAAAATGGAAGAAAAAATATTGAGAAGCAGGATGGATGGGTCACATCCCTCCTTTCCAAATAAAAAGAAGTTGGGAAAAAAGAAGAAATTGTGTTTGTTTTGGGGGGAGGAGCTTTAATTTCCCGCACGTCTAACCAACTTTACATGTTTAGGGATCCAGGTTCTGAGTCATTTAGATTTCACGTAATTCAGTATTCATTAAAAAATATTTTTGTATCTTTTAATATTTACTTATAGCACTATCTCTGAAATCCAAATAACTCCCAGCCCCCCCCCCCCCCCTTTTCCGTGCCAGGATGGATTTATTCGATTTGGAACTCTAAGTATTAAATGTTCCTGAACCATGATAACAGAAATCTTGTTAACATTTGCTGTGTATCTATAACTGTATTATAGAGGAATTGTAACTGTTTTGTCAAGATCTGGGTTATATTAAGAAAACAGACTATAAGTGTGGACGTTCTCCTTCACTGCGAACCTAATGACCTTTGACTAGTTCAAGAGAAACCACGTGATGTAAATTTAAATAACAATAACATTAGTAGGGGTGATTGAAATCGGACTTTCATGCATCACCACATTTTTAAATAGTCTTTGATACGATTAAATGTTCATACCTTTTGTTATGTTTTAGTCAAATAAATAAAAGAAGGATGTGGAGATAACAAATAGTATTCAATCTCAAAGTCCGTAAAACAATACAAAATAGGAGTAGAGCAAACACGGACCTCCGAAACATCAGAGGTGGGATCAGGTGCCATGGAGGAGTGAGCATCCCCTGCCGACCGGTCACATCCGCCGTGTGCTCCTTGTCATGAACAGGAAATAATGGGAAAAATCCGTCGTCAATTCAGTGTATAATAATGGACTAACAATTGGTATTAAAAACGTCAGTCAGCATTTGACTCAATGATAAACTGTATTTGCTGACAAGGTCACTGTATCAACCATAGAACTTACGAAATGATGACTTTAAACGAGACGGCTGATGTTCTTGTTTCGTCAACTTGCTTGTCAATAATTTACCTCGTTTTAGAAATTGTCCATACGTAGAGCATGCTCTTGCGTATCGAATCAACTGAGATATATATATACTCCGTATGCAGGTGATGAAGGTATATTGCTGCATAAGTAAGGGAAGTTGACGATAGAAAAGTTAAAGTCTGGCCATTCCAAGTTTTTTCTCTGTTTGGCGTCCACCCATCTTTCAAAAACCTAGCTACCTATTCGCAAAAAACACACAATGCAAAAAAAATAAAAAATAAAATTAAAACACATATTTTATATAAATAAGAATAACGTAATTCAAAAGATATGATTTCATTTATCTATTTATTTTTGATAAAGAAAGTTATTTTCTTCAGCAAAATAGAAGTATTAAATACTGAAACTATTCCAAAAATGGAATATTATACAAATAATTAGAGATATTGCCGGAAATCACAAATTTTGATCTGAATAATTAATTTTTGGACTCCTGATTCTGTTTGTTTTTTCTGACATGGGGTGTCAAAAACCAAAGCGCACGAAAAAACTTGGAATGGCCATATGTGAAAAATTAAGGAAAAGCAACTAAACTTCGTGCAAACATTGTTTTAACAAAAACTCCCTGTGAAATTGAAGAGTTAAATTGTCTTAAGATTCGTCTTAAGATTTCTTATACTTAAGATAGTTTTGTGAAACAGCAGTGACCTATCTTATGATTGTCATTAGTCAGATCATAAGATGATCGTAAGCTCTATCTTAGTACGAATCTTACGATAGTTTTGTGAAACCCAGTCTATGTTCTTTTTGATTGATGTGGGACCAGTTGACTCACGATGCATTTTGATTCATTTATTAATTTAATGAATATTCATGAGTTTATTCGGAACATATCTATTCTAAGTTTGTCGTAAGTTTTTAAAGAAAGTGCTAAGTGTTCTGAATAGGTGTGCATCAATTCATCAAAAACAAAAGAAAGATTTTTTTTTGCAGGGAATCTGTCTGTTTTGCTGGGAATCGGTTTATTCACGGTGATTTTCAGGAAATCAGCAAAATATATCGATTAACTTTTATATAGTGGAAAATCAGTAGAAGTATAATAATCTATGATGACGTATCTCGTACATTCAAGAGCAATAAAATCTAAATGTTATTCATTTTCAAATGATTATCTGTAGCAATAAAAGATATTGATCTTCAGAAAAATTAGATTAAATTTTCAGCTAATACTCTAGTATCATTGCGAATCTAGTATTATTGCGTTTCTTGCAACACGTAAAATTTAAGCTATTGAAATATATTTATGGTATAACTAGATTCGTACACAGAAAAATTCAGTACCTCTGACGTCAACTGGTTAGTTTATTTACTCCGTGATATAAAAGATAACCACTAACATCCATTTAAGCGGTTTTTGTATAGTAGATTAATGGATAATAATTGCTCATATTTCAAAATACCTTCTGGATAGAAAAAGATAGAAAAGCATAATCTTAGACGTACTATACTGAAAAACATGCATGATCATAAAATATACTTAATATCTTTTTTTTATATTTATATCATAAAATATTTAGAAATGAGAAATGAAATTGAATGGTAGACACCACAGTAAAATGTATTGCCCATGTGTCGGATTAAAGAGGTTCCGCTGTAATAAATCCATCATCATCCTATAATTCTCCATCCGGGCATCTTCAATTATCAGTGTTTGTAAATAAAAACGAAATATTTCTTAAGTCCAAATTTATTACAACACATATAAAGTACATCTTTGACAATGGTTTTTGAGGGGTGAAAATTTCAATGTTACACTCAACTACATGAATTATTATGTTATACTGAATGTTTTATACAAATATATATACTAGTAGTAACAGTGAAACGTGCACGCATAATTCTTGGCAATCGCTATTTTGGGAATATCACCCGTCGTCAAGCACTGTTGACTGTTGCTACGCTGGAGGGCGTTGCTTCATTATTCAGCGGGTAATAGTTTTTTAACAAATGTTTATCGACCAATCTGATTCAACTAATTTACATAAAGTACTCGTATAATATGATAATTTATTGTTTTAAAGAATTGTTCATTCCTCCTTCTTTTACAGAAAAAATAGATGTTAAAACAAGTGTGCCGTTTGTTGTTTACCATTATTATTAAAGGAAGAACACCGAGATAAAATCCTTGATCGATGATCTTTCGTCTGTAAAAAAAAAAAAGAATTAAAATAACGTTTCACAGAAATAATAAACATATTTTCTATTTTTAAAAAATCTATTCAAACCATTGGATTTTTGTGCGGAAATACAAAAAATATGCAATTAAGATTTAATGGTGTTTACCTAGTGACGTCTGATCATCATGGTGGTCCCCCTTATAGATGTCCCACTCGTTACTGTGGGATACCATGGGTTGATCCAGGACCCCGGGGACCACTGACCGTTAAGGAAGGCGTAGTGGCAGTAGTTTAACCACCAGCCTCCTCTAGTGTTACTGACAGCAGCACAGTTACCAGGAGAGCCGTCGTTATCCCTGTCTGGGGTGGAGAACGACATACCATAGTGATTGCCGTTAGGATTACCTGTGTCTAACATAGCGTCACCTGTAAAATTTAAAAACAAAATGAATCACAGAGATAATTGTTTTATATATCTTTAACATCGTTGCCTAATATAACACTGAGGTACTTCTAAGATAGATGGCTTTAGGTGCTGGAAAGAGCGATAATATTTATTTAGTTCAGTCCTAGAAACCCCAGTGACTATCATACTGGCACCTGCAGAATTAGAGAAAGTACATGTATATAACAGAGATGATAATTATTAATTTTTTAATTTAAATCAAGTTAGTCTTAATACTGAATTACATCTGAGTTACAGAGTTTAAGTTTAGTTCCCTGTAGGCTGTAAGGAGAGATTGACAAAACACAAGTCAACAAAACACTGCGCAATAATTTACATAGCATCCTTTCTAGTGTAATAATAAAACACAGGCGTGTTACACCTTTAAAGCATGGTATGGGGGGGGGGGGTCACTGAAAGTATCAAAAAATGAATGAATTAAATATTCATATATGGCAGAGATTGTCCTTTTAAAAATGTATGAAATGCAATATGTAGTAACTCATTCGTAATCATAACGATATCAGATATGGTGTATCTGTAAATGTTTTAAAATATTAGATTTTCATTACATAAAGCATAGGTATTGTAAATGTGAAACGCTTTGAGATGTTTTGAATATGGATTATTAAACTTTTTTTATTTGAATAAAAATATTTTTTTATCTTCATTAAGATTAATGACGCTCTTTAAACTTCCTATACCGTAGTATTTATAATAATTATTATTGAAGATCAGACTAGATTTTCATTTAATAGTGAAAAGGTATAGTAAATGTGAAACACGTTGCGATGATTTTATTTGGCTTTTTTAATTTGAATATGTTTCCGAACAAATAATTTTCTTTTTAAATTAAATTTTGTAAATATGTTGACATAATAGATCATTTAAACTCTTCCCTAGTAGTCAAAAATGTGAATTATTAAAAATTATCAGGAAAACCCAAGCTGAATAACAATGATGGATCAAAATTAATTACTGGATTTGTTTATTTGAAATGAAAACATAATTTCCATGTACATTAAATATATAATTTGAAATTCTAACTCCTTGAAAATAACAAATTCAATGTCTGCTGAATACGTGAATTGTGCCTGTAAATGATATTCTAAAATATTAAAGACGTCTCCATATGAGTGAAAAATTCTCAAGAGGGACGTTAAACAATATTCAATCAATCAATCTAAAATATTAAAATGTTTAACTAGCATGGAATCAGAAACGTATACAGAATATCAGAAAAAGACTTACCTAATGTTCCCGTGGCAGGTCCTGCAAGAAAGAGTTGATATTTTCCAGCTTCATCGGAGACAGAGAATCGGTCGTACATTTCATACAGAGTCGTACCATTCTGGAGAGTGATGGACACATAAAGGGATGAGTTCTCTCCCTTTGTTAATAGATGGATTACGTCATTTCCTGTATTAATATATATTTGATATCATCTGAAAAGTTCATCGAATACAATCAATTCTTTTAAAAATGTGAATCTATGGTAATGAAAAATCAACTATTATCCCATAGCTGTAGACAATAATGCTAAATTTGGTCTCATAAGAATATGCCGCTAAATAATATTCTTTTTAATTTTTTTTATTATTTGAAATATCAATTCAACACGATATCTGAATATCGTAGAACACACATTACCTAGTCTTAAATTTAGATCTTTATTCCGCTTTATAATTTTTCAACTACAACATTTTTTTTATTTTTTAAACTTTGAAGGAATATATAATTCTTATTTGAAATCGATGTACACTTACCAACCCAGACATTCTGTTCTGGTGAACCAAAACCATTCTTATATTCCGCCCAGTTCCTGTCAAAGCTCACAGATCCGTCTACGCGTTTCTGAATGGCCTTTGAAAATTAACAAAATTGCAGAACAATTCAAGTTATTGCTTCGATCAATCGTTTATTATTATTAAAGCTCAAAATATTCTTATTAATTTTATCTTACAATCTTTAAATAACAAAAACAATATGAGTTTTATCATGTACTTTTAATTTTTAAAATAAACTATACATACCGTCCACCCCCCGCCCATTGAGGTCATGTCACAGTAGACACTTATCGGCATTGTTAAAGTTCTGTAGGGGTATATATCATACACCCCTGTAGTAGCTTGTCCTTCTTCACAAAGATCCTGACAATCTTTGGGCATGGCAGAAAAAACACAATCTAAAAAAATACCGGAATCATATTATGTATATGAACAAGAGGTGAGAGGATATATAATGTCTGCATAATATATAAATGTTAATTGTTGAAGCTTAAATGTTAATTACATGTATAATGCGTATTATGTTAAACTGTTCCTCATTATCTAAAACCATTCTTGTTTTCCAATTGATAAAATCTTCGATTTATGACATGTTTAAAAGTATTCAAAACTATAAACACAATTATTTGCAAGACTCTGTTGACTTTTAGAAATGTGAAAGAGGAATTGATTGTAGATAACATGAAACACAATTTTGACACTGAAATTGATGTTGAAAAATGTTGAAAAATGTAGTAAAATCATGATATTTCGTTTTGATGTACGATATAATGTCTGACCGATCGACAGGGGATGTTTACTTCTTCGTGGCACAGACCAGCTGTTTTTACTAAATATTCACGGTGTAGAAATTTTATCTAATGTTGTCCATTACATGCTAAGAGAGATTAAGAAAAGAGAAAATTGAGAAAATCACAAAGTATAATTCAATCAATCTCAAATTAAAAAATAATTCAAAATTTAAAAAAATATATCAAAGAAAAAAAAATAAGCAAAGAGATGAGAATGTCATTAGAATCAACTATGTTGAAAATACAATTGTTTATACTACATAAAAAGAAGTGTCAAAGAAGAAAATCGTGTCTTTTTGAAATGGATTTAAGAAACCTAAAGAAGCAAGCAGACAGATAAAAAAAATAACAAATATACATACCGTTATCCGAGTAGTATCTCCAACCGGCCTCATCAGGCAGCTCAGAGGTTAATCTTTTCTTGTGGGTACGACATTTCTTCATTTGTGAGTTGAAACCAAAGAAACGGCACTCCTCATGACACATAGCGGCGCACTCGGTCAATGATTGGGCATTATATTCCCCTAAAAGTTCATAATCTGATTTCTTATCATTAAATTCATGTTTCGCAGTATATTTCTGAGAAATAATGGAAGCTTTAGATAAAGCCAAGAAGCCTACAACAATAGTGATAACCCACTGATTGCTCATTTTTTAAAATCTTTTAATTTTTTTTCTTTTTTTGGTATGCAAAAATCTTCCGCGTTCTTGTGAATCTGTGAAATTCTGCTGAATGATCTTCCAACAGCCAAATACATGTATATATATAGTACCTTAATCAATGTCTGAAAAGTGATTGGCTAACTGTTACGTTCTCTATATTTTACTGTTGTTTGAACATATTTTATTGTATAAATACTATACAAATGGTTTGAACACAAGTTCTAACAACTTACTAGGTTCTCACCATACAACTGTCAATATAATTTATATACATAGGGAAAATAAGTGAAAAGGAATATTGATGTACAAACAAGTTTGTTAAATTGAAACATACATTTTTTACTTAATTATGATAAATATATAATTATATGGATATATAGAGTGTAAGTGTTAGGCAGTATTAATTAATTAAATCTACCAGAATCTCTTATAAATTTATGAACTGACTGAAAAATATATTTATTGATTTCTACATTTTGTGACTCATTTCCCCATAGAAGTAAATGACAATCAATAATGTTCAATTTGATATTTGGTTTCGTAAGACACAGTAAATCTCTGAATAGCTTTTCTCTAGCATATTGGTACTTATTGCAGACAAAGAAAAAATGATATGGGTCTTCTGGTGTACCACAAGAACAGTTAGGACTCTCGATAATGTTTCTTCTATAAAGATCATAATTTAAAATGCAATTGTGTCGTAGTTTAGTATGTATGATATTAAGTCGTCTATTACCATGGGAGAAATAAGAAGGGGTTCTGCTGGTTTTTTTATGTATGTTATTTTTAAAGCTGCTAAAAGATATGCTGTTTCTAGTTGTGATACTCAGACTATTCCATTGGTTTATTGTATCAGGAACAAAAGATTTCTTGAATATTTCAAGTCTACATCTAGGAATAGTGTAGTCCTCTCTATTGCGTGTATCGTACTTTGATTCATTGCGTCTTGTTGCGGGAAAAATACTTTTTAAATAATCGGGTACTAAGTTGTGATGTACCTTGTACATAGTATTAAGTTTTGCTACTTTTCGCCTATCTGCAAGAGGTTCCCATCCTGTTTCTAAATATAGTGCATCTCTTGAAGCGATAATTGGTAACCCTGTAATAATTCTTGCAGCATAAAGCTGTACCATTTCTAATCGTTCAACATCTTGTAAAGAACACCCGTCCCAAACTATAGAACAATATTCAAGTAGCGGTCTAATGAATGTTATGTACATTTTAGATAAAGTTTTTCTACCGATATTGTATTTCAGCTTTTTTAAAAGACCTAATCTTTGGTAAGCCTGTTTAACTATATTGTCTATATGATCAGACCAATTAAGATTTTGGCTCAAAAGTAAACCCAAATGCTTATAAGAGGTTATGTATTCTAGATTACATCGTTGAAATTGTAATTTTGGGAGATAATAATTGGATTTTAATGTAAAGAACAATGCTTTCGTTTTAGATGGGTTAAATTTCATAAGCCATTTGGAAGACCACTTGTCCAGAATATCTAAATCATGATTTAAAGTATATTCAATAGTTGCAACATTATAAGAGGAACTTTGCAACGAGTTGTCATCTGCAAACAATCTACACAATGAAATCATGTTTTCTGATACGTCATTCACATAAATCAAAAAAAGTAAAGGACCAAGAACAGATCCTTGTGGTATTTTACTGTTGTTTAAGTAACGATTTTATTGAAGTTGATATCAATTGTCATGAATGTTTATTTTGAAATTGCAATTTAAAATATGACAATGAAAAGTGTGCTGATTTTAATTTAGTTAATGCCTGTTATGTTTTGATGTTATACTGTGTTTTTCTTTTCATTATCTAATCTTTAAAATATGGAATTTAAATATATATTTTCCCTCATCACCCATGTCTGAATGAAAATAGAAATCAGCAAATTCGAAATAAAATTCAAAATGACAATTATCTGACTCTAAGACATTATTTATTGATTTTTTTTTCAACTTTCATAATTATATTAGCCTCTAAATGTTAATATAACACATTACATCATCATTGGTTTATTAACTTTTTAATCTTAGAGGGACGTAGACTTGTAAAATACAATCATTTAATTCTTTAAGAATGTTTTTAAAGATAGATGTTCACAATAAGGAATCATAATACGTTGTTTAAATGAGACCCAAATTGGTAAAATTGTTTTAGAAACGGATTAATATAAGTTGTTACAACTTGTTTCTGAATCCTGTTTGTATTATGTACTGTGTATATATGATGTCTAATTTAAATGAAGTAAAGTTTAAACGGAAATGGCGAATAGCTTTGACAGCACATAAACGGAACACTAATTTTTACACTTATTTTAACTTAAAAATTCGGACTCGATAGTCATTGGGCTTGTCGAAATAATACTTTACCTGCACATAGAAACAAGCATACTTGGTACAAATTGGAAGACAATATATTTGTATGTATGCTTACATAAAAGCATGACATCATTTTTTTTCCCACGGTCACTCCCACCGTGTGTTCCTTGTCAAGATCGAGTAAACCGGAAAAAAAACCTCATAGACAATTCAGTGTGATCCAATCATAATGGCCTAACAATTGACGTTTTTTAAATAAAAATTGTTAGTTAATACTTATACACTGAATTGATGACGAATTTTCCCGTTATTCGTGATCATGACAAGAAGCACACGGCAGGTGTAACCACTCAGCAGGGCATGCTCACTCCTCCATGGCACCTGATCCCACCTCTGATGTTTTGGAGGTCCTTATTTGCTCTGCTCCTGTTTCGTATTGTTTTATGGACTTTGAGATTGAATTCTGTTCGTTATCTCCGTATCCTTCTTGTTCATAAATGTCAGTCAAGATTGG